TTTGGGAGGGGAACACTGAATGCAGGGAGTAGAGGAGGGAATAGAGAATCCCCCTGCACTCTTAAACCAGCACAGTAGCATCCATACTAGCCCCTGGGCTTGGGGACAGAACTCCTGCCCTTCAGCACAGCTGGGGAAGATCTGATTGGAGTTCGCCAAGTTACCCAGGCATTAAATACTCCACATCAAATCTGAATTTTAACTGCTCCATCAGCTGCAGAGGCACAGAGAGAGACACACACCATATTTTAAATACATCTTTTGTCCTAATCCCCTCTGAGCTGTAAAACCAGATACAATTCAGCTTTTATATTTTGCAAATGATGAATGACCGACTAACAAGCTCACTGTGAAATTCAGAACCTAGAACACAGTGTTCTTGAGGCAGCCCAACTGCTGAACCTGTGGTTTCCTGCAGTTCCTCCCTGTCCAGCCCCTCCCCTCCCCTCTGCCTTCCCTGGGGTAGGGGAGTGCACCCTCACTTTTGCAAGTATGCATAAAAAATACTGTTATCAGTTTCCAAAAAAAAAAATCACAAGTCAAAATAAATCTGATGCATCTCTTTCTCTCATCTAAAGAGGAAATCAATTTGCTCTAACTGGAAAATCTCGGAGACCTACGTGTTGAGAGAGCTCCCTATGGTACTATGTGGCGCAGTCTCCACTTAGAATATCCTCTTCCTTCTTTATCCCCCATCTGAATCAAAACTCCTGACAAGACACAGCTCAAATGTCATCTCTTCCAGGAAGCACCCCTATGTCCCCCCCAGCCTACAGGGAGATGTCCCTATAACTCTTAGCATCTCTATCCCAGCTGTGTGCATCTACCAAAGCACTTATCAGTGGGTGCCTAGGTCTTCTGAGGATGGGTACCTTAGCCAGATGTTCCTTAGCCAGACCGTAAACTCTGGAGGCAGCCAACCCAGGCAAACTGAATATTTTACTTGGCATTTGTTGGCATTTGTAAGTATTGCTATTAGCCTTTTCATGCACACATATTTGTTCAAATCTAGTAGGCAGTTTCCTCTAGAAGTGGCACCAAACTTGGCACAATGATGCACATATCCCAATTCATTAAATATCTGGTTAATTGGTGACTGACTGACAAGAGAATTTCCTAAAGGTTAAAAGTAAATATAAATTGGATACACATATAGCTCGCAATGTGTTTCTTTCTTTCTAAGTGCTTCTATTATATTCAATGAGAAAGATAAATGGTAGAGGGAAAAGGAGAGGAGGGAGAGGGAGAAAAGACATTAACCAGTACTGACAGATAAGTCATAGCACTCCTATTTCAGAGAAGGAAATTGGGGTAAGCACCTGTAATGGTTAAATATTGTCAACTTGATTGAACCGAGGGATGCAAAGTATTGTTCCTGGGCATATCTGTGAAGGTACTACCAAAGGAGATTAACATTGGAGTCTGTGGACTGGGAGAGGTAGATCCATCCTCACTCTGGATGGGCACCATCTAATCAGCTGCCAGCATGGCTAGGATAATGCAGGCAGAAGAATGTGGAAGAACTAGACTTGTGGAGTCTTCCAGCCTTCATCTTTCTCCGGTGCTGGATGCTTCCTGCCCTTGAACATCACACTCCAAGTTCTTCAGCTTTTGGACCCTTGGACTTACACCAGTGATTTGCCAGGGGCTCTTGGGCCTTCAGCCACAGACTGAAGGCTACACTGAGAATCTCTTGGCTTGAAATTTTCACAGAGATAGCTTTCGGGGTGGCAGGACCTTCTGACCCCACTGCCTCTTTTGTTCCCCTTCCTGTTCTCTTGGGAAACCACCTCAAATTTCACCCCTACATCCTGCTCCCATATGTTTTCATAGAATGACTTTCCTAGCTTCTGAGAAAACTCCAAGCTCTCCCAATCCCACCCTGCAAGGGAGCATTTTGCCAGCCCAGAGAAAAAGCACATTTATTTCTTTCCATGCTTTAAGATGTTATTGGCTGCATATTGTTTTAGTGCAGCGCATAATTACAGACACTGCTCTGAAAATCTGTATATTTTATCTGTGCTTTATGATACTCAGAATATTCCCCAATTCTTTTTCTTCTCCGTGAACCAGCTTAAAATATATTTTGGCATCCTTTATGTCATTTTGAAATTGAATAGCCAATTCTTACTGTAATGAAAATACTTACGTGCCAGCCCAGTGATGTACAACACTACACTCTAATTACGGCTGTGCTTTAATTAACCTGAACTGAAGAGTGTTATCATTAAACTGCTGGTAACTTTGAGTTATGGCTTTTCTTTAATTTAAAGTAGAAAACACAGATAATTAAGCCTCCAGATAATCAAATGCTTGAGGAGCGCTTCAATGTTTTGGGATGTTCCTAAATCTCATTAAATGTCCTTCCTTTATTGATCATTTCTACCTCTGCTGTATCATTGTATTAAACGAATAATAGCACTAAGTTGTACACATTCTCACTCACATCAGAAGTGGGATATATATATATTTTGGGATATATATAACCCCCCAGAAGTGGGATATATATATATCCCAGAAGCTTTACTGAGCAAATACTAAATTATCTGACAACAATTTGTCTCCTCCTTGGGACATGTTCTAAATACTAAAATCAATCAAAGGGAATATTCACAGAGCCACTAGTGCCAGCTCTTGACCTGGCTGAAGGCCAGTGAAGTTCCATACCACCCAGTGGGTCAGGGTTGGCAAACTCACACATCCACAGGGCCAGGCCTGGGATTTATGTGTGAATCTGGTCTGGTTTAAGGTATCAGGGAGTAGTGACTACATGACTACACTAACCCCTTTGCTGCATCAAACTGGAGCCAGTTAGCATTCAGAGGAAATGTAGGTCTTGCACTGTCACATTAGATTTTCTAAAGAAGCCAGAAATCTAGTTTTTACGTGACATACCACTATTTTGAAATATCAGCAATTAGTTTTTATGAAATTAAACACTAATGTAGTCAAACGTACCTTGTAAGTATCTCATTTAGGGCCTGTAGGGGGAGCAGTCCTAACCCTTCAAGTTACCAGTGAGAGGAACCCACTCAGTTACCAGGAGCAGAGTAAGAGAAGGGCGGAAAAGCAAGAAGGGCCTGGGGGTTGAGGAGGGACAACTCTTGTTAGACACAAACACCAGTTAGGCCAGGGAAACTCCATAGCCAAGGAAGGGGGCTTGACGGAGCCCCTGCTGACGCCCTCACCAGCCTAAGACTCCCTGCAGGCGCTGGCAGCTCTGTCTCTGTGCTCAGACCACCACCATATTAGAAAGACAAGGCTTCAATTGCCTTTTTATAAAACTAGCTTCCGTTAAAAAGCCTGCTTTCCCCCGGGGCTTTCTATCCTAGGCAGGCCAAGCTCCAAGGAGGGGGAGATCCCCTGGGACAGCCTCAGTGTTCCAGGACCCAATGCCTCTGAATGGTTAACTCCTCTCAGTGGCAGGAAGAGAAATAGCTCTCAAAGAAAGGCACACATGGGAGTCACAATAGGGCATCCATTTTCAGAAAATAACTCCTTCGGAATCAATTACCTATTCATTTTTCCAGTCCATTTAGCATTTAAACTTTCGCTTAGAGACAGGGTGAGAAATTTCAGTAAACAGCCAAACCATTTTGGATTGCTTAGGGTCTGGGCCCAGGGACTGACAGAGTGCACCTGCTGTGTTCAGTGACAGGAGGCTCCAGGTAAACACAAAGCCACCAAGCGCTCCGCCTCCCTCCCTCCTGCATACAGAAAGAAAACCGTGATACAGAGGAGGCCAAGGGCACCCAGGATTGTCCTCTCCTTTGTGGTAAAGCCCAATCGGTTTTGTTTGGATGTCTTCAGACCTCTCTTTCGGGAAGGTGATTTGGTTTGTAAGTAGGCAGGAAGTGCAAGCAAATGGCTTTTCTTCCTCAGCCCAATGAGCTCCCAGATCCCCCTGTTTTTCCCCAGTGAGAAGAATACTTGTCAAATCCTTTGCTAAGGTGTCAGGAGATCAGGCTTAATGTTTCACCAACCTCAGGGAGTTTGTGTTTTCAATGGGCACAAAGACCCTGTTCATCTTAAACTCAACATCTGAGATTATTATTTTTTTTATTATTTTAGAGATATAATCTCAGTGTTAGGCTGGAGTGCAGTGGCGCAATCATAGCCCACTGTAGCCTCAGCCTCCTGGGCTCAAGCAATCCTCCTATCCCAGTCTCTAGAGTAGCTAGGACCATATGTGTGTGCCACCACACACCTGGTTCAAGACACCAGGCTAGTCTTGAACTCCTAGCCTCAAGTGATCATCCCACCCCAGCTTCCAAAAGTGCCGTGATTACAGACACGAGGATTCTAAGTGAGGAATCTGAGGCACTGTCATGCCTCACGGCAGACACCTAGAGCTCTTGAGGTCATCCCCCATAGGTGACCATCTATTCTACCTGCAGTGGCCATGGCAGGTGGCTTTGATCCATCCTGCTGAGCCAGTAGAAAGAGAAGCTAAGACTTGTTATTATTATAACATGGCAGTTGCCTCTGTGGGGGCTCAAGGCTTCCTTCTGTATATTTGGTTCCACATTTCCTCAGCAAAGGGTGAAAGCACTTTGAATGGCTTTATTGCAGTAGCTTCTCTGTTGTCTCTATGATCAGACTTGATTGGAAGACAGATTAAAATTCCTTTCATTGAGGGGCTGGCAAGATTTGTTTTGCCCTATTAGAATCAGATAGGCAGGGGTTTATGCCACTGTTCATAAATGTATCTACATCACAGGAGGCATGCAGGATAACTGTAGTTCATAAGTTAGCATAAATGATGAATCCAAGTCCAAGACTCTCAGGCCTGTCAAGAAAAGTGGGGACAGTGGAAATTCCCGAGGCGGAGACCATGTAATGACCCACCCTTCTGTTCCTCACATGGGACCGAGCACACAGGATACCCTTAGCAATTGTCAAGTGCTCCGACTGTACCCAGCAGAGGTGGGAGGCTTTCTTGCAAGGGGCACATTCGATATCCCTGAGAGCCAAAGAGCATCCAGTTAATGGTCACTTACTCACAAACAGTAGGGAAGGACAGACCCACGAAGGCACTGGAGAGATATTCTGTGTACATTTCATTTGAGACTCCTTCCAAGTAGTATTTCTGCCACGTGTCTTCCTCAATCTGAAGGAAAGGAACACATGCGGAGAGTTTAAAATATGACGGTGGGCTGTAAAAGGGAAACCTGAGTTATACTGTCAGGCAAACAAATGAATGCGCTGGTTAGATAATGGCGACCTTTTCGGCAATCAGGAACACAGCCTCTGCACCCATATAAAGCCCTCAATGACCCTAAATTCATAAAATGTGTGCCCTCTAAAATGCCACTTCTTTTTTAACCTGTGTGATTTCTTTCCTTTTTTTTTTTTTTTTTTTTTTTTTTATACAGGGTCTTACTGTTGCCTGGGCTAGAGTGCAGTGGATCACAGCTTGCTGCAGCCTTGAACTCCTGGACTGAAGCAATCCTCCTGCCTCAGCCTCTGGAGTAGCTGGGACTATAGGTGTGCATCACCACGCCTGGCGATTTTTTTTCTTTTCTTTTTTTTTTTTTTAGATACAGGGTCTTGCTATGTTGCCCAGGCTTGTCTCAAACTCCCAGCCTCAAATGATTCTCCTGCCGCTGCCTCTCAAAGTCCTGGGATTACAGGTGTGAGCCACTGTACCCAGTCTTTAATCTGTATGACTTCTAATGGTGTGGAGACATGGGCACTCACCCACAACATTAATAGGCAAGGAAATTGATACAACTGTTTTGAACAGCAATTTTGCAATTATTATCAAAATTTGTAAAAGTACATGGTATTTTACACAACAATTCCGTTTTAAGTATTCATAGCAAAGAAACAGGAAAACACAGGTTAAAAAAACATACAAGAACATCCTTTCTATTCATGAAAAATGGGAAATAACCATAAATGGCACACATACAATGGAATACTAAGAAGCAATTAAAAATTATAATGAAAATGTATACCTGTTCATGTATAAATTCTGTAAAAAGGCACATTATAAAATAGTGTATATAATCTGATCCTATTTTTTCGATGCCCTATAGTTATCTGAGTGTTTGTAAAGCTATAAAAAAAATCTAGGAAGTTTTATATCAAAACACTAACAGTTATTACCTCCGAATGGTAGAATGATACTTTCTTCTCTACAGATTCCTGTATTGTCGAAGGCTTTTATAATGAGCATGTACATATTATAATGAAACAGTATATTTCTACTTTGCACGAAATGACAGATTTTTATGACCTCACAAGGAATATCACAAAAGGTAAAATGTTAGTTTCAGAGACGTCTTGCTCCAAATTTCAAAAGGAGTATCACAAAAGTAAAATGTAGTTTCAGAGAGGTCTTGCTCCAAATTTCATTAAAATATGCATTTTCTCTAAGTAGTCAAGTTTAGTTGGTTTTCCCAGCAACCCTCTTCACGCTAGGTATCTCTGGAAGGATTTCACGGTGTAGTAAATGTTCTCTTTTTTTTTGAGACGGTCTTGCTCTGTCACCTAGGCTGGAGTGCAGTGGTGGGATCTCGGCTCACTGCAATCTCTGCCCCCTGGGTTCAAGAGATTCTTTTGCCTCAGCCTCCTGAGTAGCTGGAATTGCAGGTGTGCACCACCATGCCCGGCTAATTCTTGTATTTTTGGTAGAGACAGGGTTTCACCATGTTTCCCAGACTGATCTCAAACTCCTGACCGCAAGTGATCTGCTGGCCTCGGCCTCCCAAAATGCTGGGATTACAGGCGTGCACCACCGCTGCGGGCTTACAATGGAGTCAATCTTTAGAAACTGGTGAATTACAAGGAGAATGTTGAGCCACTTTGGGAGCTTAGGGATCTCACAGGCCTCCCTGAGGGAAGGAGGGCAAGCTGTGTGTCTTTGGCTGCAACCTCTCAGGCTTCCCTTCCAGTGGGGGCTTGGGTAAGAGGAAGATGAGAGGAAGCCACCCCGCCAGCCAACAGGAAGTGGTTCTTTAGAACGTCTTGTGCTGATGTTGTATTCAAAGGCATCTTGCCTGTGGCCTGTCAGTTAACTGGGAGAAATGCAACAAGTGGATCAGAAGGGGACCTAGGAACAGTGGGCAAGGACACACCTACCATCTACTTGGTGACACTCCAGCATACAAAAGCCGGAAAAAATTTAGAAATAAACTGAAGGCTCCCTGACTCTGTGCTTTCTGTCTGGTTTTTTGCTCAGTCTGGGTGATTAGATTACGTAGGTTAACTTCATTTTTTTGAGCTGCTTCCAACCTACTCCCACAGGTGAGACATTAGCTAGGCAGTGCTGCTGGGTATGAGCTGTTTATCTACAAACTGGCCTTCCCCAGAGTGGGGTCCTTAAAAAAAAAAAGTCACTCAATCAATTCTATTGCTAAATGGTATGATTTTAAAAATTAACTGCAATGTGTTTAGCTAAGCATGAACTTTTTAATTTCACCAAACCATAGGATCTCAATCATTTTTTTTGAATAAAAGATATGCTTGACTTATAAGCAACGGTCACTAACTCTAACTAATTTGAAGAAAGCCTAATCTGCCTTAGTAAAAAATGTTGGAATATAGAATATTTGGGAAACAGTATTAGCATAATTTGTTTTATTAATGAATGGGATACTATATGAGGTCTCACTAATTATAAATCCCTATACTAGAGCCTTATGGGCAAATAGTATTCCTGAAAAAGAATTTGGCCTATTCTTTTCATATGTGTTCTTTTATAATGTGTTGTTTATGGTCTAATTTAAATACAACAACTGATTATCAAAAATAATGAAAATATAAACCTTTATTATCGATCATTGGTGGTATTCCTCAATTAATGTGGTTTTAACAAGGTTCTTTTAGTTTTGGTCAGAATTTCATGCCTTTGTGTCCTAATGAAGCTATTTTTTATACCAAATTTTATTGTAGGTGAATCACTAAACTTTTTAAATAAGAAGGAACATATTCTTTGTAGGGTAACAATGTCATTCATGTTTGTTTTGAATTTAGCAAAAATTGTTCTATTGAGTCATTCATTCAGCAATTATTGATTGCATATATTTTTCATCTTAGGATCTGTTCTAGTTTCTGATTAAATCAAAACTGGTATTTACTTCCCCAGATTTTTATCTTTGCTGGAGAAAGCACCAGATATATCTGATTATGATATACCTGACCACATATATCTGACTTTTAATGATTTTTCCATATCTTTTTTCCTGCAAGTTTGCCTTTGTGGCTAATCAGAAGTGCTTGAGGACTAAAAGTCAAATAAGTAGAAAAAAGTACAGAATGTTCTAGAAAACAAAATGCCTCTTCCACATCCTTGTGTAGACCTGCAGATAACCTCTATACACTAGACCTAGTAGCATTGAATCAACTGAATAAATGCTGGGGCATTTAAATCCGTTGTCATCGCCATCTGTTTAAGATTTCCACATCTTTAACACTATTTCCATATGGATAGTCAATATGTTTTTGAGGTTTCTGGTAAGGAATTTCACTTTTAAAAGAGGCTAAAATTGCTAATTGAATTACACTGTCATCTTCTCAAGCACTGTATGTAGTTGGTGGGAATGTAAAGCGGCACAGCCACCGTGGAAAACAGTATGGTGGTTCCTCAAAAAATTAAACATAGAATTACCACTGGATTCGTAATTCCACTTCTAGGCATATATTCAAAGGAAATGGAAGAAGGATCTCAAAGAGACATTTGTACACTCATGCTCACAGCACCATTAGTCATAATATCCAAGAGGTGGAAGCATCCCAAGTGTCCATGGCCAGATAACTAGATAAACAAAGTCTGGTAATTTACAATGGAATATTATTCAGTCTTAAAAAAGAAGAAAATTCTGTCACATGCTACAACATGGATGACCCTTGAAGGCATTATGCTAATTGAAATAACCCAATCACAAAAAGGGCAACTATGTTATGATTCCACTTATATGAGGTACCTAGAGTCCTCAAATGCATAGAAACAGAAAGTAGGATGGTGGCTGCCAGGGGTTGGAGGGAGAGGGAATGGGGAGTCATTGTTTAACTGAGACAGAGTGTCCATTTTATAAGATAAAAAGAGTTCCGGAGGTGGATGGTAGTGATGGTCACACAACCATGTGAATGTACCACTGAACTACCTGCTTAAAAATGATTAAGAGCAAATTTTATATGAGTATTTTATCACAATTAAAAAGATTTTTAAAACCCTTATGTAAAACATAAGAGCAGGAGAATCAGTAATTATAATTAATACTGAGACCATTTAATCCTTAAGTCATGCCAGAAAAAGGACAGGAATAGGCCGATCACATCAGACGAGTCAGGAGTGAGAACCCAGAGTCATGACATCATAGTGCATCGCAAACTCAGCAACAGAACCTCAGTCTTTATACCGACCCAAGGGCTGAAATTGTCACCTTCTATCAAGGTTACTATTCTAAGTCTCGAGTGTGATATCTTCGACTTATTTTTGAAAAGCAAAAACAAAAGTATACATTTCTCATACAATGCATTCTTAGACAGAAAAAAAAGTCAGTGCAAAATATATTGAATTTAAATCCTTGGCCACACCTGTAATCCCAGCACTTTGGAAGGCTGAGGCAGGAAGTTTGAGGCTAGACGTTTGAGACCAGCCTAGGCAACACAGCAAGACCCTGTCTCTACAAAAAATTAAAAAATTTGCCAAGTGTGGTAGCACACCCCTGTAGTCCCAGCTACTCAGGAGGCTGAGGCAGGAGGATAGCTTGAGCCCAGGAGTTCAAGGCTGCAGGGAGCTATGATTGTACCACTGCACTCCAGCATGGGCAACAGAGAGAGATCCTGTCTCTAAAATAAATAAATAAAACCTTGTGTTTAATACTAAGAAAATGAAAGTGAACAAAGAAATCTGGACCAGGTGAAGGGAGTTATTGTCATTATGAATTCCCCTTTTATAGATGATAAAACTGAGGCACAGAGAGGTTAAGAAACCTGCTGACAGTCACAAAGTGAATCTGTGGTACAAAAAGGATTCAGAGTTCACACTCTTAACCATCCAACACAAAGATAGAGGGGTTAGGATTTAGGCAGATGGGGAGGATTTGCTGTGTACAAGTACCTAAGAGGCAAATATCAAATTTCAAAACCAAAGCCCATCAA